ATCCACCCATTATCCATCATCCACCCATCCACAGCGTTGTCACAGCTGTAACTGCACTGGGGTGCAGCGCTGTCAGCCCCATTTTTGCTGTGCCCCGGGGCGAGCTGTATCCGGCTGTGGTGGGAAGGGCTCAGGCATGGCTGGGAAAGGATCTCAGCCGGCGACCTCTATATCTGAGCCATTTGTTAGGGTTAATTTTGTTTCTTTGTGGCTTTCATACCAGATGTCATTGCGGTTCCTGGTGTTGATTTAGTTACCAGGAATCCATTAATTCGTAGGAAGTAGCGAGCCATGCTGGTACCATCAGATGGCTATGTCTGTTCACAGGAGGCTGTTATCTTGCTGTAAATGTTACTTATGACTGTACAGAACTTTCCCCTGGTATCCTCATCCTGAAAAGCCTCATCTGGGCGATCTTAAACCCAACGTGGTGAGCACAGCTCGTGAACGATGCCCAGCAGGAGGGTGCAGAGCGCGGAGCAATCCACTGGTGCTTGCTTGTGGCAGAGAAAGCCAAATTCAGAGCAGATCCTGCTGGCTTTTTCTGGTTTTTTTTTGCTTTGAAAGAGCATTTCTTAACACTTGACAGAGCAGTCAATAAGAGGAGTGGTTTGGAAACTTGGACGCAATCTTGTTTCCTCTTTCTGAGCAGTGAAGTCCTTAAAGGTCAGCTTTTGTGGTGCAAGATGTGCTGCCAACAGCTCCAAACCGTGGCCGGGCAGTGCCGTAATTCAGAGGAATTGCGTGGTTAATGTTGGAAATTGATCTTTCTTCTCAATCACCCTTTGTTTAGCAGCTGGTTTGGGGCTGCTTTGGAGGCTCTCTCCGCATTGAGCAGTGCGAGCTTTGGAGGCTGTGAGGGGAGTACCCGGTCTGAGGAGCGGTGGGGCTGGAGCCACCAAATTCCTCTTTCTCTTGTCTTTTCTTTTTAAAAACCCTGAATAATCTCATCCTGCTCTTCCAGTGCTGCTGCTCTGTCATGGTGAACGGTGTTAGACAGGGACAGGGTAACAGCAGGGGCTCCGTGTGACCTGGCCAAGGAAATCACCACAGAGTTAGGAGCTGGAAGGGACCCTGGAGGATCGCCTGTACCTTGGCATGCCCGAACGTGGGGGTGTGTGGCAGGAGGTGTGTGTCCGAGTGTCCGTCTGTCCCTGTGCAAGGTTCCTGCTCTGGCCCAGGGCGCTGATGGACGTCGTCCTCTCACGGGGGCAGAGCCAGGCAACTCCTCGGGGAGCAGGGCTGGGGGCGCTGCCACCTCCCCTCTCCCAGATCGAGACCTTGCTCACCAAAACTCTCACCTAAACCTGGGGTTTGTCCCTGCTGAGCGAAAGGAGAAGGAAGCCGCATTTCCAAAGCCTTTCTTGTAACCCAGGTGAGATTGAGACACTCAGATCACATAACCTCCTGCTGCATCCAGTGTGGCATCCAGTGCCCTGGCACCCCATCCAGTGCCCCGGCACCCCATCCGGTGCCCTGGCACCCCATCCAGTGCCCCAGCACCCCATCCGGTGTCCTGGCACCCCATCCGTGCAGCATGCAGTGTCCCTGCACCCCATCCAGTGCGGCATCCAGCGCCCACCCCGTTGTGGGTGCCTGCCTCACTGTTGGTCCTCATTGGTCTCCCTCATTAGCAGCCCATCGAGAGCTCCCCAACCCGTTCCTGCCTCCCTGGGGTGACCCTGGGATGCAGAGCTGGGCCCTGCGGGAGGCAATTCCCTGCTGGCAGAGGACGATGCTGCCCTCGCTGCGTCCTGGTCCAGCCTTTCGGGGCAGCAGGCGATGATGCCCCCCCGAGCCATGCGCAGAGAGCTCAACCCATGCAGCCCAACTGCTCCCCAGTGTCTGATGGCCCCGCTCCCCTCCTTGCTCCTCCTCCTCTTGCCAGATTTTCCACTGGGATTTCTTTCTGCCTAGTGCGTAGTCATCCTCCATCCTCCCTTTTGCCTCCGATGGTTTGTGACTGTATTCAACTCCTGTATTTCTCTGTGCCTTGTGCTCCCCGTGACTGGTTTGCACGGTTCCGGGTGGTTTTTTGGTACTAACTTTGACTGCGTCTCTCTGTCTTCTCCTTTTCTGCACACCCCTCCCTGTCCACCCCAGACCTCGCAGTGTTCAAGGAGCGGCTGAGAGTGTTAACAGTAGGAGGTATGCAATTAATCAGCCTTTAACCCTCTGGAGTGCAGGACTCTCTTTGAATAGGTTATCCTGGGCATGAACTGAGCCGGTAAAGCGCTCCCCTCCCGTCTCGCGCCACTCTTCAGTTCTGTAATGCCTTCGTTTTTCATTTCTCCTGCTCCAAGGCTCGATGTAGGCGCTTGGTCCCCTGTACTGATCCCCAATATAGAGCCTCGCTGGCCTTTGCCGTGCTGTGTGTTTGCATGCTGGGTCCACCTTTTGCTGTGAGCGCTGATGTTACGAGGCCTCCGTCTCCCCGATTGGTTCAAGTCTCCTAAAAATCCACGCTCTCATCCTCTGACTGCTGCGTTGTTGCAGTGAAAATCGGGCAGCGTTTCCCCCCCATCCGATGGCGTTGCTGCCTGCAAACACCGAGCGCTGCCGAGGAGCTGGCAGGCTACAGCAAAGCAGAAGCAGAGACGCCTTGAGCCCCAAAACCCCTTGTAAAACCCCAGAGCACGCCTGCGTCACTCAACCAAGGCACGCCTGTGAGTGTGGCTTCATCCGGGATGCTCCGTACCGCTGCCACCTCTTCCCAGGGCTCCTCTTTGGATGGGAAGTGCTGGGATGCGAGGCCAAACCCCGGCTGTGGCTCCGAGCTCCCCAGACCCCGGGGCCTGGCTTCATCCCCCCCAGCAGTGCCCAGGGGTTGATGTGGGCAGGGCCAGGGATGGGAGCCAGGAAAGCTCCGGGTGTCCCTGAGCACCAGGGACGAGCCATGGCCAGCGCCACCTCCTCCGTCTGTGCGCAGGGCGAGGGATGCACTCACTCCATGGGGAGTCCAAGGAGGGGGTGATTTTGGTGTCCCTTAGCCCTGAAGAACGAGCTTTACGTTTGGGGGTGGCACCCCTGTACCCTCCCTAAAAGAAACCCTGGTTGGGCGCTGGGGCAGTGACGTTGACTTTGCCTCTGCTGCGGCTCCAGAACACCTTGAACCCAGACTTGGGAGGGTGAACTGGGGCCTCCTCCAGCCAAGCTCCTGCTTCAGAAGGACCCCCCGAGTCCCCATCTCTGCTTCTGCCTTGCTGTGTCAGCTCAGCGAGTCCCTCGTCCTCTGTGCCTCAGTTTCCCTGAGCCATGAGCCGCAGCGGGTGCTGAGGCACTGCCGCTGGTTTTGGGGACCCTGGCAGGGCCTGGCCGATGCTGTAACAGCCACAGGCACCGGGGGGTTCACCTGCACCCCCAAAATGCCCAGCACCAGGCACAGCCCAGCTCCTCGTGGTGCCAGCACCCACAAGGAGGGCGTTTGCTAAGCGGAGCCAGGCTCAAGCCCTAATTAAAAGCTGTTAACTGGGGCGAGGGGTGTCTGGCTGAGCTATTCAGGAGAGTCCACCGCAGGGCCCTGAGTCGATCTCTCTCTCACTTCTCCTTCTCCCTCTTCGGGTTCATCTTTAACCGTTCCCTTCTCCGTGCTCACTCATTTTCAACTCTGGCCTGTGGCAACACCCCCGTTGTGCTCGGTGACTCCTCGACTCCTGCTTTTCTCCCACTCTGTTCCCATTTGTGGTGGATTTTCTGTGTTCTTGGGGCTCCAAACTTCCCGACTCTCACCCTGGGTTTTAATTACTGATTTACACGCGTGTATTATTGCTTTGCATTACCTTTATAACAACCTCGTTGTTCTGCGCTTAACGTCTTCGTGTTTAATTACAGCTTGGTTTTTTACACATATAAACCTCCTTCATGCTTATTTTTTGCTTTTACGCTGCTGTTTTTTTTGCCCCCTTCCCCACCTCTCCCAAACGCCCCCGGACCCTGCGTGACCGTGTCCCCCCCTCGCCCCCTTCCTTCCTCCTCTCTCTTGCTTCCGCTTGTCCCACCCATGGAAAATCCTGCAGGCTTTTACGGGCTGGACGAGTCTGACCTGGACAAGGTCTTCCACTTGCCCACAACCACGTTCATCGGTGGAAACGAATCGGCTCTTCCGCTGCGGGAAATCATCCGGCGCCTGGAGGTGAGGGGCAAGGGGGAACCAGAGCCATTTGCAGCCCGGGGCGGGGGTAAAGCTTTTTGGGGCAAATTGAAGCTTTTCAGGATGGAAGCTGCTGCCTGGCGCTTGCCCCGCTGGTGGCCGCGGGACCTGCACATCCCTGGTCAGCTCCAGCTTCGGGCAGCGCGTTTGGTCCACCCGGGCTGCAGTGAACCCCGGGCAATCGAACGCTGCATTTTGGAAACCTCTCCAGCCGCCTTTTGCAGCTGAAAGCAATGACCGGTGCTGGGAGCGCACAGGCGATGCCCGTGTCCCTATCCACGCTGCTGCCCTGTGCAGGTCCAGGCTGGGGTTTGGAGGCCCCTTTGCAGCTGAATTTCCAGCGCTGCTGTGCCTGAGCGCTGCGAGGTTGCTGGGACGTCCGTGCCGAGACAGATCCACCTTGGGAGGAGCAGAGCTCGTCAGCCGCTTGGATGCGCTCAAAACGGGCTCCGTGTTTTTGGGAGGGGTTTTGGTGGTTCCCGGCCATGGGCAGTGGGGCCACCGAGAGGGAAAATCCCAGCCCTGTCGTTGGTGTGAAGGACTCGAGGGTCTGACCCTGGGCCATTGGGGCAGGGGTATCAAACGTTTTGATCTGGGGCAAGTGCAGTGTCCTGGGATGTCCCCCATGGCTCCCCTTTTCCCCAAAAACCAGCCCCAAACCGCAGGGCGGCTGCGGGCACTGCTCATGGCAGTGTTGGTGCCGGGTTTGGTCTCCGCTGGGGCAGGGGAGGGCTCCTGGTCCAAAGGGGCAGCGGAGGAACCCCCGGCCGATGTGATGTCCCCCCCACGGCCACCCCTGCATGGGGCGAGGAGGGGGCCGCGGCCTCAGGCCCTGTCTGTGGCAGATGGCGTACTGCCAGCACATCGGCGTGGAGTTCATGTTCATCAACGACCTGGAGCAGTGCCAGTGGATCCGGCAGAAGTTTGAGACCCCCGGCATCATGCAGTTCACCAACGAGGAGAAGCGCACGCTGCTGGCCAGGCTGGTCCGCTCCACCAGGTACTGGGAGGGGGGTTCTCCTCCCCTGCTCTTCCCTCGCTGCGTGGGGTGGTTTGTTCCCGGTCACCGCCGGAGGCACATCTTGATGTCGCCTGTCACCGTCGGCTCAGTCAGCAGAGCGAGCTGGCCAAGAGCCCGAAAAGCTCTAAAAATCAGGTTTCAGTGCAGCAGGGTGGGAGCAGCCAACCAGGCTCTGCGGGATGGGTGACAGCAGGCGTGGGGACGAGTGGCTGGAACCTGGGGTGTTGGTGGCAGCAGATCCCATGAGCCAGCAATGTGCCCTTGAGCCAAGAAGGCCAACGCCATCCTGGGCTGGATGAGAAGGGGTGGTTGTAGGGCAGAGAGGTTCTCCTGCCCCTCTGCTCTGCCCTGCTCACACCACAGCTGCAATCTTGTGTCCAGCTCTGGGCCCTCAGCTCCAGAAGGACAGGAACTGCTTGAAAGAGTCCAGCAGGGCCACCAAGTGATGGAGGGAGTGGAGCATCTCCTGCTGAGGAGCGGCTGAGGGAGCTGGGGCTCTTGGGCTTGGGGCAGACATTCCTGGGATCCATTTGGAAAGGGCAGTGTCAGGAGGAAGGAGCCAGGCTCTGCTCTGGGATGTCCATGCCAGGACAAGGGCAATGGGTGCAGCTGGAGCACAGGAGGTTGATGTGAACACGAGGAAAAGCTTTTTCCCTGTGAGGGCACAGAGCATGGCCCAGGCTGTGGAGAGGTTGTGGAGTCTCCTTGTGTGGAGACACCCAAAGCCCTGGCCGTGTTCCTGGGTGACTGCTCTGGTGATCCTGCTCTGGGGTTGGGCTGGGGCAGCTCCAGAGGGCCCTGACAACTCCTGTGGTTCTGTGATGCTGTGGGTGCTGTGGCTCCCTCAGTGTGGCCCCCTTGACACTGATCCCTCTCCCCCTTTGCCGTCCAGGTTTGAGGAGTTCCTCCATCGGAAGTGGTCGTCGGAGAAGCGTTTTGGTCTGGAGGGCTGTGAGGTGCTGATCCCAGCCTTGAAGACCATCATCGATAAGTCGAGTGAGAAGGGAGTGGATTACGTTATCATGGGGATGCCGCACAGGTAACCAGCCCTGCCTCTCCACAGCAGCGCTTGGGGGGCTGCTGATGGGATTTGGTACTGGAGAGCAAACTGGTTTCTGCCATCGCCGAACTGGTCTTGACTGGGGAGCTCAGGCTTTGGCTGCTCCCTGCTCACCTCACGGTGGTTTTGGCTCCAGTTTTTTCATAAAGAGTGGGTGGCTCTGTCATCACAGAGCAGGTGGGTCCTGCCTGCTCTGGGGCAGCTGCTGGGGTGCAGCGGTGGCCGTCCCCGTGCCAAGGGGTCTGCAACTCCCTCCCTGGGTGACGCTACAGCTGCTGCCGGAGATGTGGGGTTGTCGCACCACCTCAGTGTGAGTGGGGTGGTGGCAGGTCACCGCCGACACTGCTGGTCGCCAACCGCGGCCTTGCTTTCGCAGGGGACGCCTGAACGTCCTCGCCAATGTGATCAGGAAGGAGCTGGAGCAGATCTTCTGCCAGTTCGACTCCAAGCTGGAGGCTGCGGATGAGGTGGGTCTCCTCCTCCGCCTGTGGCTGCTTGCTGTTGCCTGGCGTAACTTGGTGGCATAGGTGTCGCAAGGATTTCCATGTTTCCATGTCCGAGCCTGCCCTGGGGTGGTGTCTGCCCTGGCCGCTGCCGGTGTCTCCAGCGCAGGCTGGGCCTCAGCAGCTCCCCATGGCCCTAAATCAGCCTTGGAGTGAAGGACGAGGGGAGGGGAAGGCAGCTGGGAGCAGAGGTTGGCTTCTACCCTGACAGCAGCCCCTGCTCCCCATGTGGGGCCCTAAAGCATCTCCAAAAGCCCTGAGGCTCCAATTGCTTCTGCTGCAGGCTCTGTCACTGCTGAGCGTCCAGCACCACAGGCCAGATCCTGCACTGGGGTCACCACAACCCCATGGAC